ATAAGTATTCACAGCCTTTGCCATGACAATCAAAATTGAGTTTAGGTGCAACCTGTTTCCACTGATCATTCTTGAGATGTTTCTACAACTTGATTGGAGCTCACCTGTGGTAAATTCAGCTGATTGGACATGATTTGGGAAGGCACACACCTGTCTATATAAGGTCCCACAGTTAACAATGCATGTCAAAGCACAAACCAAACCATGAAGTCCAAGGAATTGTCTGCAGACCTCCAAGACAGGATTGTATCGAGGCACAGATCTGGGAAGAGTACAGAAACATTTCTGCAGCATTGAAGGTCCCAATGAGCACAGTGGCCTCCATCATCCATAAATGGAAGAAGTCTGGAACCAGCAGGACTCTTCCTAGAGCTGGCCGCCCAGCCAAACTGAGCGGTAGAAGGGCTTTAGTCAGGGAGGTGACCAAAAACCTGATGGTCACACTGACAGAGCTCCAGCGTGTCTCTGTGAAGAGAGGAGAACCTTCCAGGTGCAGCACACCACCAATCAGACCTGAATAGTAGAGTGGCCAGATGGAAGCCACTCCTCAGTAAAAGGCACATGACAGCCCGTCTGGAGTTTGCCAAAAGGCACCTGAAGGACTCTTAGACCAAGACCAAGACAAAGATTGAACTCTTTGGCCTGAATGGCAAGCGTCATGTCTGGAGGAATCCAGGAACCACGCATCACCTGGCCAATACGTCCCTACAGTGAAGCATGCTGGTGGCAGCATCGTGCTGTGGGGATGTTTTTCAGCGGCAGGAACTGGGAGACTAGTGAGGATCAAGGGAAAGATGAATGCAGTGATGTACAGAGACATCCTTGATGAAAACCTGCTCCAGAGTGCTCTGGACCTCAGACTGGGGTGAAGTTTCATCTTCCAACAGGACAACAACCCTACGCACACAGGCAATATAACAATGGAGTGGCTACAGGACAACTCTGTGAATGTCCTTGAGTGGCCCAGCCAGAGCCCAGACTTGAACATCTCTGGAAAGATCTGAAAATGCCTGTGCACCGATGCTCCGCATCCAACTTGATGGATCTCGAGAGGTCCTGCAAAGAAGAATGGGAGAAACTGCCCAAAAATTGGTGTGCCAAGCTTGTAGCATCATTCTCAAAAAGACTTGAGGCTGTATTTGGTGCCAAAAGTGCTTCAACAAAGTATTGAGCAAAGGCTGTGAATACTTATGTAAATGTGCTTTTTTTTGTTTTTATTCTTAATAAATTTGCAAAGATTTCAAATAAACTTCTTTCATGTTGTCATTATGGGGTATTGTTGTAGAATTTTGAGGAAAATAATGAATTTAAGGTTTTAACATAACAAAATGTGGAAAAAGTGAAGCGTTGTTAATACTTTCCAGATGCACTGTATTTCTTACAATTTCATGCAAATGAAATCTGAATGTACCTTGTAGGATTGCAACCAATGTTGTATGAGCTCAAGCTGGACAGAACTGAGAACTGATGAGCACAAGTATGTAATGTTTGAGTGGCTCAATGTTTGAGTGACTCAAACATTACATACTTGTGCTCATCAGTTCTCAGTTCTGTCCAGCTTGAGCTCATACAACATTGGTTGCAATCCTACAAGGTACATTCAGATTTCATTTGCATGAAATTGTAAGAAATACAGTAAATAGGGACACTGAGAAAGTAAAGGGCAGGCTGGCTGAGTTTTGAAAAGGCCACATAGGGAATGGCACAGGAAGAGATTATGACGAGGTGGTCACACCATGTGTGTGCCTGGTATGAACCCAAACTGTGCAGAGAAGCAAAACGCACGGCCATGGCTCATAAGAAAAGAGAACTCTAGTATGGACAGAGCCGGCTGGTAGTAATTGGCTAGCTGAGCTAAGCCCTGCCCCTCTTTCGAGACAAAAATATAATGCAATTAAATAAATAAATGAATAAAGCCTATGGTTCAATTTCAATATGGTACTCAGTCTTATTTGCTTACCGTAATTTCCAGACTATAAGCTGCTACTTTTTTCACACACTTTGAACATTGCATCTTAAACAATGATGCGGCTAATTTATAGATTTTTACGGGCTAACGAGTTTCATGCCACCAAAACATTTAGCCTCATCACATCGGACAAATGAAATTACCCAACAGGTCACAGTGGACCAATGAAACTGTTCGAATTAAATCTAACGCGCTCACACTACATTCTTCAGATCAGTCGTTTTGCGCTTCATGCAAACCCCCTCATCAGGGAAAACACACGAAGAAATGCATATTGGTTGACGTCATGTCTCCTCCCCATCTTGTCATGTGTTGTCGAGTCACGTGTGTTTTGGTATTGCCCGCAGCTGTTAGCAGTTTGGCTGGTGTGTATATATACCGGGAGCCATGACACACACAACGTGGGTAATTAGATATAGAGTTAGAATTAGATAGCGAATATAGTTAGACTCTTTGTTCATGCCATGTGTCTTAGTTCTTGTTCATGTTTCCTAGCCATAGCCATAGTCCATATCTGAGTTCATGTCAAGGCTAGTTATCTTATAGCATAGCTTATAGCTTAGCCTGTAGCCTAGTAGCTTATAGCTTAGCCTGTAGCCTAGTAGCTTATAGCATAGCATATAGCCTAGGAGCTTGCAGCATAGCTTATAGCCTAGTAGCGGATAGTATAGCTTAGAGTTGTATAGACTTAGTTTAGAATATAGATGTAGAAGTGGTTTATAGAGTATAGATATAGAGTCTTTGTTCCATGCCATGTCCATGTTCATAGTCATTGTCACGTTTCATGTCATAGTTAATGTGTAGGTTGGTCATGGTTCTTGTTTCTTTTGAGTCTGATCTCCTCTGTTTCAATAAAAGCTCTCGTCCTAACTGCATTTGCATCTGTCCTGCTTCGTTTACGTCACGAATCGTGACAGTTGAAACGTGGACACCTGCGGCTTATAGAGAAGTGCGGCCTATATTATGTACATTTTTTTTTTCTTTTTAAAATTAGCGGGTGCGGCTTACATTCAGGTGTGCTAAATAGAGAATTACGGTATTTGCTAGTAATTGGCTAGCTGAGCTAAGCCCTGCCCCTCTTTCGAGACAAAATATAATGTAATTAAATAAATAAATGAATAAAGCCTATGGTTCAATTTCAGTATGGTACTCAGTCCTATTTGCTGTTAAGAAATGGTTGGAATCTGATGGGGCTGATTCATGATAATACTAAAATACTAAGCAATAATTTGATCTTTGCTTCTCACTGTCAAACAATATTTCGAATTTCAAACTTATGTAAATTGGCAAGTAAAATAATGGTGTTCAAAATAGATTTTCTTGAATGTACGATTTGGAAGTTGGGAGAATACTGTTGCTAAGCACATGGGATAAATGAATGCCAAGCATATACTAGCAAAGTAAAGGGAAACGAAACCAAACTGTTAAGAAATGTACATTTCCCTCACATGTGAAAAGCTTTCTAAGACTAAAATTACACACTGAGAGAAAACCCATCTTCACGAAGCGTGACTTTATTGAGAATCATCAACACTGCGTCACAACTCATGAACACAACAGTAGATCCTTAATATGAAAGCATCTTGTTATGAAATCTTGTAAACACTAGTTGAAAACAGCATGACTTTATGATGAACTACCAAGTGGTACCATGAGTACGTAAGCAAAATGCTGTCATGCAAGAAAAAAAAAAAACCCATCAGCATCTTGCTATTATGAGAAAACATCAACATCAAGTACAACAAAACATCTTGAGATGCTGATGGATATTTTTTCTTCTTGCATGGCAGCTTCTGTACTGTTTCACTGTAAGACTGTTACGACACTGACAGAGACAGAGTGAACACTGCCTTGAGAGACTTCTGGGATAATTACACATTGCTTAAACTAAGTTAAACTCTTAATTACAGAAGTAGATTGAGTGTGTCAAACAGAATTCCTGCTTGACTCAAGCAAAATCACGCTCCATTAACGGAGCATTCGGAGAGACTGACAGCAAGCAGTTGATGCAATTCGAGGAAAACTGCTCAAAACTGCTCAAAATGGAAATCGTCCAAATGTAAAACCCATTTGTTAGCCAGCATATTTGAAGCTTGGACAGCGTCTTCCTTAATAAAACCATTGGCAGTGAAAACATACAAAGTTGTTACTATGACTATTGAACCAGCAGACAAATGAGGTCTTAGTGTGTAAACTGTGACAGAGTAATCAAGTGATTCATTCTGCCTGTTCAGCTCTCTCTTTTTGACCATGTGCCACTCAATCTCAGAATCTTCTCCTTAGTTCTGTGTGCAACCCACACAGGTCACTCATGTGGGCAATTCAAAGTCACCATTTCGAAAGGAATCTTGCACTTCATGGCCCATTGACTAATTGCAAGTGGCAGACATCTCTCCTGGGAAGCCACTAAGACTTTTAGTGCTTTTGAACACATCATCCCTGCTGGATTCTGCTGTCATGATTTATTTATTTATTAATACCCTAGCAGGGGTAGAACAAATGAACTGAGACTCACTATCAACACACCAGAAACATTCTTTGGAGTGTATAGGTAAAAAAAACCAAAAAACTAATGAATTAATAAAGTTCAACAGTTTCAGAAATATTTATGCAGACAAAGTTAGTCGTATTCAGAGTCTGGTTACACATGTCCTTAAGGTTGCCAGATTTTAATTTGACACTTAACCGTCAGTGACTAGGTTGTTCAGTAGCATCTAGACCGCCTTAAAACAAAAGAACCCCCAGCCCCCCTGCCCCCAAATCCCTCCAAAAAAAAGGTATAGAAAATCTGGACTGCTTTCTTTGCTGTCAAATGTAATATGATGCAACATTAATGTAAGAGACAATTTTTCCTACTCTTTTGTTTGCTCTTGTTCAGGGTCCTGCTACAGCGGATCACCTGTCCACATATTTAATTCTGGCACACACTTTACACTGGATGCCCTTCCTGATGCAACCCTCCCCATTTCTGGGCTTGGGACTGGCACTGAGAGGGCACTAGCTCGTATAACCCTACAGTGGCTCGGGTTGGTTCCCTGACCAGGAATCAAACCCAGACCACAGCAGTGAGAATTTCACATGCTAGCCACTAATCCACCAGGGAACCTGAAAAACAAAAAAAAAAGATTGATGACTGAGATGACATATGAATGAGAGAATGCAGGCATCTAGTATATTGCCAATATATTAGTCCTTGATTGGCTGCAATTATCACATTAATCACTGCAAAAATATGGCTAAACATATGGTTTCCACACTCATTATTCTATATACTATTCAGCAGTGTAGAAAATAGCACTTGATCCAGCACATACTATTATTTTGTGTTTTAGTTATTTAAGATTGTGCGCCTACAATTAATTGCACACCCAACTTAATAGAGTGACAAGATACCTAACTGGAGACCATGAAATTGTAAACTGTGCACGAGATGAGGGGAGATCTATCTTTAACCCTCTTACACCTTAGTTCCCACACCTTAGTTTACACCTTAGTATTATGACCCATAACCCTATATTCCTCATACAAACAGCATGCCAACCCTGAGTTCCCAGGCCAATATTGGCCCCTAAATCAACATTTTAATTTGAACATTTTTAGGCCTTGAAACAACTTATAATAATGTGTTTGTGTAATATTACTTTGAAAATGAAGCAGTTCAGTGTTTTTACTCCACTTGGAGTAAACTCTTATTATCATCCGGGCATCAAACCGCCAACCCTACGATTAGTGGACAACCCGCTCTACCACCTGCACCACAGCCGCCCCTTTAGAAGTAGCATACGAGCATCAGTGTGGTCAATGCCTTTGAATAAATTCATTTTAGTGCCAAAAGTCAACTTTCTGGTGATAATCAGACCAGCAGGTACTGTTTTCACGAATGCACAGAAATTGGTCGCATTCCCGACAACCCCTTGTGGGGGTTGTTGTTCTTTTCAACGGAAGGATTTGTCACTATCAGTTTTGGTTTCAACATCACCTGAACTTTCACTGCTGTAACTATCTAGAATCCTCGCTCTCGCCTGTGAACCTGTGTATGTTTTCTTTTTTTTTCACTGTTTTAGATGTACCTGTGTTCACTGTAGGTGTAACTTTAGCTGGAACACGATTAACTTTTCGCTTTGGCATTTTTAGATAACTTCTACTATTACACCATAAGTTTATAATGACGTAATCACGTTGTGATGTCATCAACCTTCCGGGTCAAAAAATAATAATTAAATAAGTAAGGAATCATAGCAGAATAATGCTGGTATACCGGGCTTACGGGGATAAGGTTTACACTGTAAAACCGCTATATCGGCCTTACGGGTATTTGGCATAGACGGATAAGCTGGTATATCGTCCTTACGGGAATAGGTCAAAGACGGGCAAGTGGGTTTTTCGGCCTTACGGGGTTAGTGAGTTAAATTCGCTGTTGTAAAAATAGAAAATGCATATTTATAATGGTAGGTTTCCTAGTCTGCAATTAAGTGCATACGGTACCATTTATCTGTTTTGCAACTTACATTATTAACCAACATACAATCATATTAATAAAACCTAAGATTAATTATATTCTTGCATTTTGCACACACAATCCAAATCTGCTCTTGTGGCATTACAGCAAGAGAACATGCTGATAGTATGTTGCTTTCATTGCTGACATTAACTGGGGTGAGTTGTAAATGTGTTGGCTGTTATTATGAATGTAAAACATTCCAACAAGAACAGAACTGTTTATTTCAGCACTGCAGAAAACGTGAGCAATTATTGCTTCTTTCTGCTGCAGTAGAGAATGATCCTCTTGACAGACAGCTAATGAACCCGACATCTGTCATGTTCACCAGCTCAAACTATTCTGTGGGGGTTTTGCTTCAAACTGCTTTGTCTAGTTGATTCCTCCACTGAAGTATACAGTATAAAGGATGTGCCCTGGGTACAAATTAGCCATTTCTTGTCAAAGGAAAGAATTAATAACTTTGACTTTAACAGGCTTAAATGTTTAAGCCTAATTCCGGCAAACATTCTCCATACTTGAAATAAGATAGTTTTGAAATAGTCAAAAATGAAACTAATAGGATTGAGCAAGGGTATACATTATTACATAAAAATAATGGCATCTCTCTCTCTCTCTCTCTCTCTCTCTCTCTCTCCTCACACACACACACACACACACACACACCCTTAAAGGCAAATTTTTAGTCCCTCGAGGATTTTGTGATTTTAACACAAACAAAAAAACTTCGCAATATTCAGAGGAGCTTGCAATTTTTCAAAAATTTGTGCAGATTTTTTTTTTTTGCAGATTTTGGGCCCAGACGCTTATGTGATGTCATCACAATACACATTCAGCCAAAGCCCTCTTTGATTCACGTGCGTCTAACATGAACACAGCTAAAAGGTGTGAAAACAATTTCGTGCAATTGCAAGTTACTCCGCAAGTAACAACGCAAATTTTGAAAAATAAATACTGCAGTGAAATCAAGCCTTTTTGGCTGCAACAATCAATATGGATCAAAAACAATCAAAAAACCAATATGGACTGGAAATAGGCAGCTGAAAATATTTTTTCACATTCCGTCTTAAGTCTTTACTTTACTGTGCTCATGCCATGTTTCCTCCCAATACAAACCATGATAAAAAGAAAAGCTGTAACCATGTCATGCAGTGTAATCACAAGGCCTGACTGTCACTGACTGTAAATAGGCTGCATGAATCTACAGTCTGGGCTAGAAAGAAATCAGCCCGAGCCTTGCTTCAACATACCATTGTGTGTATTTATCTTATGACCACTGGTGGTGCCGTTGTGCTAGATTACACAAAAATCCATCTAATTCCCTTTAAAACATTTACAACAAGCAAATAATCTGATGTTGACGCAAAGAAAAAAAAAATATTTAAAAGACTACTGAATACTGGATAGTGAATACTCAAACCCCTAGAGCATGGACAGTTTTGTTCTGAGCTACCACAACTAGCCCAACTAACTTGAACTGATTGAATTCAATTGTTTAGTGTGAGTTAAAAATAGTAAAAAACAGTGGTAGAAGTGGTTTAATCAAGGTAAACTTGGTGAGCTAGTTGGCTCAGTGGTTAAGGCTTTGAGTTAAAGATTGGAAGGTCTAGGTTCAGCACTACCAAACAGCCATGGCAAGACCCTTAACCTTCTGTTCAGTTATATCCTGCATCAACTGTACATCACGTATATGTCGGGAAAATGTACTGGATTATGTGTTATTTTGTAGTATGTGAGATATTATAGTACTTAGCTATACATATATTAACAGTTGTTTAAAGTAATATTTTTGCATTGCTTTATTGGCAACCCTATTGCCAGTAAATTACTGGAACATCTAGTTTTATGCAGTGTAAAAGTTGCAAGCTGAAATTTCACTTGTTATAGAGAGTGTGTGTGTCTGTGTCTATTAAACATCAGTTGAAAGAGAGATCGATAACACACTGCCCACAACCATTCTATCCATATTATGGCAGCATGACAGCTTGTCTTTTAAAGTACACTTATAATAGAATGGATCCAAAAACACTGCTGTTTACACAGAGACTGGCTGAACTGTCCGCCTAGTATCTGAACACTCTCTCTCTTGCTCTCTCTCTCGCTCTCTCTCTCACACACACCTCATTATAACTCCCTCCTGTTGCAAGCAGCATACAATATTACCAAGAATCAAGACTAAGAGTTGGTAGTATAGACTCTGTTATGCAAAACTCTGTTCTTAAAAGAATTCATTTAAAGCTGATAATTAAACCAGACATACAGACCAGCCAACCTATTTAGAAACCGACCTTTTGGAGTTGAAAAAGTGGAGCACAGATGGTGCCCACTCCTTTGTTGTGCAAATTCAGTCAATGAATATTAGTAAGAGCTGGTCTCACTGGCATTACACTAACATTCCCTAATTCCTAATTCATTATGAGTTTGTTTGTTTGTTTGTTTGTTTTTTCTTCAGCCTGCTGAAATGGATTGTCATCTACTTGGTTTGTAGATGAAGCTTGGCAGGACAAGAATTGCTCACAGAGCAGGTCAGGATAAAATATTGCTAGCATGGTAATAGAGGGGTATTTTTAAACCAGACCAGCAGGAGAACTAGACATTAGATCAGAATAGAAACCAAAGTTCACGCGAACAAGGCGTAGAGATAAATGTGACTCTGGTGAGTGTGTACGAGTAAAAAGTGATGTAAGACGGAACTGGTAAACAACTATGTAATACAGTCTAAGGTTTATTGAATGGCGTCACTGCACATGCTATTTTCAGCCCCTAAATCTAGAACATGGCATCTGGCTCTAACTTGGCATAAGTAGTAGCTGGTGGCATTTCACACCTCACAAAGGCGCTTGTTCTTTCCTCTCAGTGGACTGACGGTCAATTATGTGCCAGAGTGTCTTAGAGAGAGACGGCCCACAATGCAACAGCAGCAGTGGAGAAACCAACTGAGACTAAAACTAAAGGAGCAGAGACAGATGCTCATTAAGATGAGCAAGTACAAATATGCCATGCATACCATTCACTAATTGGTATCAGTCAGCTATGGCTGAGAGAACCATTAGTGCGGACAAAGAGAAGTTACAACGCAGTACATACTCAAAAACAAGACTGAAATGCTCCTATTGCATTTATAAATCATAGATAATAGATTATAATACCTAACGTACTGTATTTGTTCATACGCAGTTATAGTAGCATTCATACATTGTGTATATATATATATATATATATATATATATATATATATATATATATATATATATATATATATATATATATATATATATATATATATATATATATATATAATACTATGTAAAACATAAGCATGAGCATTACAGAAATACACATACACAGTGCTGTGAAAAAGTATCTGCCCCCATTATGACAACTTCTGGGGTTTTTTTTGTACATCTCATAATAAATTGTTTCAGAAATTAAAACAAAAAAAAGATAAAACAAAGGCTGAGTAAAAACAAAATACAGTTTTTAAATGACAATGTTATTTACTGAAGCAAAAAAGTTATCAAATACCAACTGGGCCTGTGTGAAAATGAATTTGCTCCCGTAGTTTTAATTCCCCAAATCTATGAAACTACATCCATAATGGGGTTCAGCTGGACTAGACACAACCAAACCTGATTACTGCAATCCCTGTTCAATCAAATCAACATTTTTATAGAACTTTTTCAACAGCATGAATTGTGTTAAAAGATCTAACCCAGTAACACATTCTGACAAAACTGTAAGAAATTCCAGAAAATACGAGGAAGAAGTGATTGAAATACTTCAGTCTAGGATGGTTTCAGAGCTATTTCAAAAGCTCTGGGACTCCAAAGGACCACAGTGAGAGACATTATCTCCAAACGGAAAAACTTGGCACAGTAGTAAACCTTCCCAGAAGTGGCAGAACTTCCAAAATTCCTCCAAGAGCACAGCAGAAAAGAACCAAGGACAACTTCAAAGGAACTACAGGCCTCTCTTGCATCAATAAAGGTCACTGTTCATGACTCCACTATCAGAAAGATTCTGGGCAAAAACGGTATCCATGGAAGAGTGGAGAGGTGAAAACCCACTGATAACCCAGAAGAACATTAAGGCGCGTCTGAATTATGCCAAAATGCACCTTAAATGATCTTCAAATCTTTTGGGAGAATGTTATTATACCTACAGTCAAGCATGGTGGTGGAGTGTGATGGTGTGGGGATGTTTCAGGGTCTGGGCAACTTGCAATAATTGAGGGAAACATGAATTATGCTCTCTACCAGAAAATCGTTTATGAATTATGCAGCAAGACAACAATCCAAAGCTTAAAAGTAAGTCCTAGTCCTTGTAGTAAGTGAAAGACTGATCTCCAGTTATTTTCGGAAGCATTTGGTTGCAGTTATTGCTGCTAAAGGTGGCACAGCCAGATTTTAGGTTTAAGGGGGCAATTAGTTTTCACATGGGTGATAGGTGTTGGAAAACATTTTTGCTTCTAAATAAATAAATAAATAAATAAACAAACAAACAAACTGATTTGTGTGTTTACTTAGGTTGGTTTTGCTTTATGTTGTATTTCATTTGAAGATCTACAACTATTTAGTATGAGATGTACACAAAAACAGAAAAAATCTGGATGGAGGCAAATACTTTTCCACAGTATTGTAAATTCTGGAACCATGCATTTTCTGTACCGCTTACCCTACACAGGGTCGCGCGGAGCCTGGAGTCTATCCCAGGGAACTTGGAGCACAAGGTAGGGGACACCCTGCACGGGGCGCCAACCCATCACAGGGCACAATCACGGGGCACCGGGAGGAAACCCCCAAAACAGGGCTGAGGCAGGATACAGGCTTACGTCGGGCCTTATCAGATATTATGTGCACTCTATAACACTATAACGCTTTACAGATGTAGGATCAATAGTTATTATTACAAGGAACATACGTGTCCATTTGTCCAGAACAGCAAGAGCCATTTTTTTCCAGTTTGTAATCTGATCTCAGGTACCATTTGTAGGAACACTGAAAACAAGATTGGTTTTATTGGATTTTATGCAAACGAAATCATAAGAAAAGCCGCTAAAACAACCCCTAATTGTAACTTCAACCTTTTGTAAATTTTAACACCTGACATTGCTAATATGTATGATTGTGCAGTCGTGGAGCACATGGAGCATGTGGGACAAAAAGTAAATCATAATTATTTGCAAATAACATTAAAAGTAATCATTTAAAATGCACCTGTGCCAACTATATAATTTACAGCAACCAATCAAGCGATGGATGTCTGATACTCTCTCTCTCTCTTTTCTCCTTAAGCCCATTATGATCATGTGTCTGTTACACACACATACACACACTCTCCCTTAACATCGCCTGTGTCCTCCACCGGCAGACAGCTGTTAATAGGGGTTTATTTTTAGCAGGTGGGCGAGGTGTGGGTCTCTGTGATGAATGAAGGTGAAGTTTTACCCCTCTGTCTTGCTCTTTCTCCATTTGGAGGATGGTGACATGGCCAACGGATAAGAGGTACAACGGATAGGAGGTACAATTTTGAAACAGGGTGTATTTCTGTTAAAAAAGCCTAGACACATCACCAAAAGTGATAAACAAGAAAAGACAAATAAATAATTCAACTTATTTTTCCTAACATAGATGAAGTCAGTGGGCAGTGCAAAAATGTAATATGATGTAACTAATTTTAGAAATTTTAACTACCAGCTCTGATTATGGTGAATTCCATGCAATCAGATGTCATGTTAAACGTTACGGATTTAGAAACCTTGTCCAAACCTTTAAGCTGGTGTTCAGGACTTTGTAATGGTAATGGTGCATGGGAAAGTATTCAGAACAGAACAGTTTACTCTTTCTCTGTAAAATAACACGCTGTTGTTGTTGTTGTTGTTTTCATTTATTTATTATTTTTAAATATATATATTTTTTATGTTATTAATGTCAAGAGAGTGGGTATTGAGGGAGCAACTGTCTAAATCATAAGCTATAACAGGAACAGGATTCCATTCATTAAAATATCATACAAAATGTTGAACATTTAGAAATCAGGTCTCAACTCTTTCTGTCACGTAAAAGAGGTGTAAAAGAGGTATTCGTGGATGCAAGTGCAGTAAAAGGCTTTTATTAAAGTGAGGCAGGTGGACAAATCAAAAACGTGATCAAATATCTAAGTCCAAAAGCAGGCAACGGTCAGGTGATGTACAAACAGCTATAGCAAGGACAATCCAAAAGCAAAAAAATCAGAAACCAAAACGAGATCAAGAAACGAGGTAAGAACATGGAAACAAAAGGATCTGTAATGCTCAGGCGGGAGACACTAAACAATGCTGGACAGGGACACACGAAGGGTTTACATACACAGATTAATCAAGGGGTAAATGGGGACAAGTGAGAAAGACATGGCACATGAACGATACAACCCATGATAAGACAGGGGAGGAGACAAGACGTGAATGAAAACAAAACACACATGTTAACCTAAACAAAACACAACTCGGAAGTGTGCGCTGCTTATGCGCTCGAGGGAAATCCCTGACACTTTTGACCTGTTTTGGCCACTAAAAATTTCAGAAGCAGCATCACAATCGTGATAATGTACAGATCAGAAAGTCTAGTTAGCATTTTACATTTACATGTATTGCATTTGGTAGACAACCTCATCCAGAGCAACTTACATTTACATAACTGAGCAGTTGAGGGTTAAGGGCCTTGCTCAAGGGCCCAGCAGTAACAGTTTTACAGTGGTGGGATTTGAACTCACAATCTTCTGATCAGAAGTTTAATGTTTTAATCACTGAGCTACCACTGCCCATTTGCACATAAAGTCACATGGTTGTGTTAACCAAAATCACGTGTATCCCAAAGCAACACTAGTGCCAACAACATCGTATGTGTCTATACTCATTAGCTTATACTTGCTTTCTGCTGTCTCCAGAGAAGGCTTCACCAAATATTGATTGTTGGAGCTGCCAATCATTTTTAAGCCAAACAACTGGACAATTGCATCACATGTTTAGGCTCAAAATGTCACTAACTATATGCAGAATTCGTTTCTGTTCTTTTTCATCCTGGGTACCAGTAATTCTGGACATGATATATCAAGTAAAATACAACCAACAGAAGAAGAACTGGTAAATCTGAGCAATTTGGCATATTGGTGGAGTCCAATGCTCAGTTTGAAGTCTACAATTTTGGAATATTAAAAGGTACACGTTTTTCAGGTCCCGTATTTTAGTGTATGTGTTTTAGGGTCCATTGTGTGGTGTACAGCAGGAAAATATAAGCATAATATTAATGTAGGAGAGAATATCACAGCCAGAACCTCAAAAACAGCAGGAACATAAAGAGTTAGGATTATTAATATTAAATTCTTAATGTCTATATTTTCACTTTATGTTGTTTGATGCACATTAATCCTTTATTAGTCTTGTATTTTGCACCAAGTCTATGGAGGGCCAATATTTACCACTGTACACACATGCACATGGATGGGATAAATAATTTTCCTTGAACTCACTTGAACCACAGCCATGTCTCTTGTGAATGTTGTTGTTACTATAGAAACGGTAATATATTAGAAGAAACGCATTCATATAACCCTGTGATTTGAATTATAGATGTATAATCAACACCTTCTTTTTTTTATCAGATTCGACAATTCAACAGCACTGTAGTTTTTGGTTTTGAGTTCAAACAAACAAACAAAAAAAATAAATAAGTCATTTAAAATTTGTTTAACCTTGTATGTTTGATTGACACCAAGCAGACAAGCTGTGAAGCTGCAAATCAGGAAGGGTGAACACTGTGAGGTAGGTGTGAGGAAAGAAAAGAGAAAATTAGGAAAAGCAATTAGCACGCTGGAGTCTTGCTGAGAATCTTAGCATCTCTGCACCTGATGGGAAGGAATTCTTAAAATAAAATAGCAAGCATGCTTTGGTGCTTTTGCCATTTTTAGGCTGTGAAAGTGACACGTTGAGGAAAGATTAGGATTAACACAAAGGCGCACATTTACAAGGCAGATCTGAACACATACACACACACACACACACACGAATGATTATCTATAGACATACAAATCACCAACCAAAAACAGCCGACCCCACGTTAATCTCAAGGTTATTTTCATCCAGACACAAACCTAATGTAGCTGTGAAACCTCTGCTTAATTAATTAGATTGGGTTTAAGCCTATTATTTTTTCCCACTGCACTGCCAGTTGCTATTTTTGTATCTAGAAAGAAGTAAACACAAAATTCTTGCAAATATTTATGCACAGTTAAGTTAAATACGATTAACTTAAAAAATAGAATAACTAAATAGCAATTGTGGTTTTAACATTTAATTAATTAAGCTTTAATTAAGTAATTTATCATTATAAGTGAAACAAAATAAGAATCATATAAGAATGTATATTCTTATTTTGTTTCATTTATATTGTTACATTAATTTTTAGTATACTTCTAACTGCCTGTGCAGCTGTAATACTGAATTTCCCTGTGGGATAAATAAAGTGAATTGTCTGTCTGTCTGTCTATCTAAGCCAGTACTTTGGCGGATATCTCAGATGTCATACAAATACTTTCTGTATTTCTATTCTTATTTAATGAATTTCTACCCACTTTTCCTTGTAGAATGCTTCTAGTTATGAGATGTTCTTGGACTGTCTTGTAGACACAGCATCTAGCTTGCTGGTAGGCCAGATATTTTGTTGGAGAAAAACTCAAAAACTTTGTAGACTAGTCATCTAGTTAAAGCAAAAGCTGTTTTAGGCAATCACTATTTTTGGCATCAAAGTGCACGTTATTAAAGAGACATACACACAGACTACAAGTTACAATTCCATCATCATTCCTTTTTACGCTACACTGTTAACAAAGAAAGTGAATAAATCGGTACAATAAATATTAAATAATAGATTTGTGTATTATATTACACTATGTACAAATGTACCAGTTTTTAAGATGTACTTGTTGATTCTGATGATGCATGGTGTTGAAAATTCTTATAGCAAAATGATGACCGGAGGACATTTTTGTTCTTCCTTCACACTTATAATGACTGTCGATTTTGCACAATCAGCATAATAAGTCCAATCTGGCTGGGCTATTCACTGCATTCCGTTATTTATAGGAAGTTCTGAATCATTACTTTCACACCACACAGTTAAAATGTATATTAGTAAGCCAAAAGTTCAAGTAAACTGAAATAAAAATTCATCTGTCCTTTACTACATGAATACCTGTAGGTTGTTGTTAATGGGGAAAAGTTTTGGTGAATGCATCTGCTAACTGACATTTTAAAAACAGACAATTACTGCCCACCAAGTGTCTGAACAAATTTTCATCTCACAGCTTTCTCAGGACAGGGTCATTTCATAAAAATCAGAAAAAAATGAGGCAATACAATTACATGCTTTGTCATGGCAAGTGCAATTCATTCTGAATAGTAGATTTAATTTGTCCTGCAAGACAGACAACGCATCAGACCTTAAGGGTCTGCATTCAGGCTCATCCGGTTTCCTTCTGTCTTGCTAATTAAAGCATCGAAAGATGAATTCAAGCTGTTTTGACTGATTGACCTGATGAAAATAAACACATCCTGCTGTGTTCTTCACACTTTGCTACATGCAACAGCGATCGCTTCGAGGGTAAACACAACCCTATGCTATTCCATATACAGAATAAAATAAAAGCTACATTAAAGAGAATAGAATAAGAATATATAGAATACATTTAACAGTATGAATAAATAGTAGGAAATACATAGGATACAATAAATAATTAAATAAAATTAAACAATATATACCAAAACAGAGGAAGCACTGGCGATGAAATGCCAAAATAACCTGCATTAATTACAGCATGAATAATTAAGTTTACACAGAAAAAATCTTTTATGGAGTTTTAGTACTTAAATTGGTTTCAGTAATAAAAAGTAAAAAAAAAAATTTTTTATAACTTGCAGACTTTTTTTTGCCAGCATGTAAAGAAAGGAATTACAGTTGTAAAAAGTATGTGGATGGTTTACTCACTCAAAATACATATAAAAATGCGATCCAAACATGTTTGTGGTTAAGTATCTTTTTACTTCTTTCTCTTGAAACATAAAATTTCTGAAATGAAAACTTTTTTCCTTGAATGTGAAAAAATGTGAATATACTGTTAGAGACAGCTAGTGTTTTTTCTTTCTTTTCTTTTTTCTTGCTATGTGGGCCTGTTTCAATTAATGAAAGTGTACACCACAGTTTCATTATCCATATCCACATCGAATATGGTAAAAAAAAAATACATTTTACCATTTAATAGAAGACTCAATATATATAAACTTGTTTAAATGACAAAAAAAGAAATGTTCACTTATCTCAGATAGTGTTTCAGATTATTCTTTCAAGTAGTTTTGTCTAAATATTGGAAAATTAATCAAAAAAGATGACCTTCACCATGCCATGTGATTGCAGAAAAGAACATGCAAACAGCACTTCCTGGTTCTGTGACATGGCTTTTTTTATGTCATGTCAGAGTTAAAACCCCCTTTTTCTAGTTATACATAGGAAAATAGTAGTTTTGTATTGTTCCATACTAAATTATTGGACATAAATGAATTGTTCCCATATGGCAACACCATGCAGTAGAGTTAAAAAGGTACATTTTCAAATGCACTTTTTGAAAGAGTGCACCGTTTTACTGATGCTGTTCGCTACTGAAATAGTTTGATAATTCAAAAACTAGCATTAACACAATGAATCACTTGCTAGGGTGGCATCATGAGTGTTCATAGCTACAACAATGCTGTTTGTGAGAACGAGCTTCAAATCCAGCCTCATTTGGACTTGTGGCTAGCAATAATATATTGTCTTTACAAGAAGAGAGGGACAAAATAGAATTGATTGTTTACGCACACACTTATTCTTCTCATAACGCCACCTGACAGGCAGCATCTGAGTATAGTAGAAGCTGCAGGATATAAGAGCTTTTCACAGCTCAGGACTGACAGCTGCACCTGAAAGTTCTGCACATTTACAGAAGAAACTCAAGGCAACTCAACTCAGACAGCACAAGTATAAAAAAGATTAATAACAAGACTCTGACCATTCTGCAACTACACATCTTTGTGGTTGGAATTTAAGGCATAGTTATGGCAGATGTAAAAGAAAACTGCACCCTGAAACACAGTAAATATGTATATATTGTAATACTTGTGACGTGTTTAGTGACGCTTCTGCTAATTTGTCAGTTTCTACTGTATTTACCTTATTCCTGTGAGAATTAGTGGTTGTCTGCTGTGCTGATGTCACATGGAGAACCTTAAACATAAGGGATAATATTAAAGTTGTGCTGTTAGCTCCCAAAAAAAAGGGTAGAAAATCAAGAGTTTCTGTTCTCCCTTACAATTTTCCAGTGACTTCATATTAATGAGAAGTCTAATTTACAGGTGAAAATATACTGCATATATTTTAATATAATTTATAGATATACTGAGATGGTGAGATGGGTGTCTCACCCCTGACCAGAAATATCAGTGAACCTGGTTGAATATGTGCAAGGATAAAAAGGGCAACTCTGTATACACAGCCTATATTACCAAGATTACCATGTATTTTCACTTCACCGGCACAGCCCCTCCCCAGGCCTGCACTTCGGCAAGCTTGGAATACGAAGCTGTTGCTCAGACCTGGATTGAGCTTCTCTCAAGTAACTGATTGGCTCCTTCATGAAAATAAACAAGCTTTTCAGTTTTCATCACTGGGAGGCAGTATGAAAAGGAATAGAGGAACAGGACAATGCTCATTTTGGCAGAGCCTCAGGGCTTC